GGGCCAGATGTGGGCCGGATCTGGGCCAACACTATGTTGCTGTCTGGGATGGATGGTAAACGTTCTTTGTGGAACCATTGATGCCAATAAAGAACCTTTATTTTTAAGAGCGTAACTGCTAGACCATCACTGTCTGTTTAACAGATGTGTTCACTGACAAATCTTTAATATTTTCTCACTCCAGACTCTCACAGCCTGTTCAGAGCAGACACTGACTGTGGTTTAAGAGAAGGACGTGTTGATGGTTTATCATCCGTGGTGCTGGATCAGCAGATGTCTAAACTGGATCAGCCCATCATCCCTCTGCTTTTAGGTCTGGTTAAAGGTTTTGGCAGGACTGTGTTTGGTCTCTCTGATCTTGGTCTTTAGAGGAACAAAGGCTGATGCTTGGAAAGAAACGAGCCGCTCGTTTTTCTTTCTTTCTCATGCCACTCGTTGCTCTCTCTCTTTCACTCTTTCTCTCTGAGTAACAGAAAGAAATAAGAAAAGAGAACAGTTGGTTGCGTATAAAGACAGAACGTTTCTGGAAACTTCCACCAAGATGCTAGAAAAGTGCTGAATCAGAAGCGCAGGCTCTGCCGCCCCCGTCTCTCGATCTCTCACTCTCGATCTCACCGCTTCCCACAGCACAGCAGCAAACACTCTACAACACCATCACAGCCATAACACACAGATCCAAGAGCTGTCTATCAGACTATCTATCTATCATTAAATGAAGTGCATGGCTGTTGGAGGAAGTGACATCAGACTCAGAGTTCTTCTTCCTGTCGTGTTCAGGTGCAGTGTGAGCGGCTGTGGAAGGAAACCACCAGGTGTGTCAAATGCCATGTCACCACGACCGCACAGTATGATAATGAGTGTACGAGAGCGTTTAGTGTGTAGGCGTCTAGACCTTACACTCATTCTAAAGCACATTCAATTCACAAGCCCTCATACAGTTAGCTCCTGTTCTCGAGGGGGTTTCTATTGGCAGTTATGTTTGAGATTTCTGCACATGATAAAATGGTGGCTTCCAACCGCTTGAGTGATCTGAAGCCCTGGGATCTGCATGATCTATCGGTGACACTTTAGAATAATGGTCCGTTGTTAACAAGTAACTATGCAGGAAGTAATAGGTAGTACTACATTAACACTTAACTTAATACTATTAGGTCATAGTTCACAAGTGGTTCTCAATGAGGATATTTTTTTTTAGTAATTATCAAATATCTAATAAGAAACTACCTTTGTCCTACATTTGCTACTACTTCATGCTTAGTTAATCTTGCTTCTCTATTAGTTAATAGTATTAAGTTAAGTGTTAATGTAGTACTACCTATTACTTCCTGCATAGTTACTTGTTAACAACGGACCATTATTCTAAAGTGTTACCAATCTATCTGAAGAAAATCCTGAGAGATCAAGTAATGCTCACACATATTAAGACTTGTCATGTTGTAATCGTTTTAATTTGAGGTTGGTATTGATATGTTTGTGAACCTGAGGTGGAAATCCCTACGGTAGTGAAACACTGCTCATGTTTGTCCAGCCATTGCACCATCAAGCTGATGTGTGCACTTTATACACACCGAAACTCTTTTCTTACTTCTCTTTTTGCTACATTCTTGTGACTGAGCGGTGACACCAAAAGCAGCACACAAGGAGAAACTCATATTTCATTGTTTCTACTGTTAAAACATCTACTATAATGAAGTAAGGTTTACAGGACATCACAAATGGCATCTGCACTGGAAAAAAAAAAAAATTCCAAGTAAATAAAAATTTCATAGAGATCATGATCCCCTTTATATATTCCATTTTATTTTATTTATTTTACTATCATTAGTATCTGTATTACTTGCAACTAGTGTGTCTTCAGTGTTGTCTTGCACTTTTGTCAACTTCAGTTTTTTTTATGCTATATAAATACAAATGGATTGATTGAGTACACTGTACAAGAGAATACTATTTGAGTGTTTCGACTTCAAAATGTGTTTAATTCAACGTGTTACCATGTCTTTGTAATTATTTGTGAAACGTACTAGCCATTTCTAAGTGCAAATTGCTTCAAAGGCATTTTTTTCAGTGTGAAAATGTAACAACTCATGTGTTTCTGACAGATTTTGATAATTGAATGATCATTTTGCGTGTGATGGCTCACATGATGAAAGAAGGTTTAGAAGTTTCAATGCAAATCAACTCGTCAGTTTTGAGCCATGTGCATGTAGTTTTTTTGTGCAAATTGTAGACAGGTGGACTTACTCTTTTGCATGGGTGCCAAAACACGAGCAGTTTGCTTAAAGGGATAGTTCACCCAAAAATGTAAATGTGATGTTTATCTGCTTACCCCCAGGGCATCCAAGATGTAGGTGACTTTGTTTCTTCAGTAGAACACAAACGGAGATTTTTAACTCAAACCGTTGCAGTCTGTCAGTCTTATAATGGAAGTGAATGGAAATCACGGCTTTGAGAGTAAAAAAAAAACACACAAACAAAACCAAATTAAACCCTGCGGCTCGTGACGATACATTGGTGTGTAAAGACATGAAACAATCGGTCTGTGCAAGAAACTGAACAGTATTTATATCGTTTCTTACCTCTGATGCACTGCAATTTCCGAACTGTCCTGAGCATGTTCTCAACAGCAGACTTATAAGTGCATTACCGCCACCTATCTCTCAAATGGACCATTGACCATCTACAATCTCAATTAGGAGTGTCAATGGTCCATTTGAGAGATAATCAGAGGTAAAACACGATATAAATACTGTTCAGTTTCTTGCACAGACTGATCGTTTCGTGTCTTTACACACCAATGTATCGTCACGAGCCACAGGGTTTAATTTGGTTTTGTTTGTGTGTGGTTTTTTTTACTCTCAAAGCCGTGATTCCCATTCACTTCCATTATAAGACTGACAGACTGCAACGGTTTGAGTTAAAAATCTTTGTTTGTGCTCTACTGAAGAAACAAAGTCACCTACATCTTGGATGCCCTGGGGGTAAGCAGATAAACAACACATTTTCATTTTTGGGTGAACTATCCCTTTAAATGAATAAGAAACTCATATTTGGTGTGAACAAGAAAATTCAATTTGGAAAATTAGCCAAAGCAATTGAGAAACACTGGTTTTTGTAATACCAGCATCTGCCAGCAGGGGCGAATGGACCCTCACTAACAAGACCCCCCAATCTGACCTGTGGGTCACAGAGTAATATCAGTTTGACTCACAAAGGCGAGCAGAAAACATTAGCAGGGATTTTTGACTTCCACTCTTAAAGCGGAAAGTAAATCGAAAAGAAACTACACAGCCATTTGTTTGTGTGTGGGCGACTGCAGGTTTTTTTTTGGAAACTTCCATTGTGAATGCAGAAATGCGCTGAGTCAGGAAAATGCACCCGCTGCCCCCCCTCCAAAAAACCCATTCGTTCCTGTGCTCTGTCCCCTTTCTGTCTTATGCAGCCACATCCTGCCGTCTCCCTCCATCCTTCCCTCCATCTCTCTCTTTATCTGTCGTGCTCTGTGCGGCTTTGATGTGCAGCGCTGCATTCAGCACACTGAGGTTGAAATCAAGAGCTAGAAAATAAGGAAGATAAGCATCGTTGTGCAAGACTATTGTGACTCGCAAGAGAAGACTCTGACATTGCAATATTTTATTATTATGATGCACATTTAATGCACATTCCAGTCAATATCAAAATACAGTATGCACTTTTATAAATAACAACAAACAATGTCACACCCCCACTCCACGGCAGAACGTGAACGCACAGCTGAACGTTTGATCGATTCAAGTGTGCCGTCTCGTTGAACGCACTTAAAGGAATAGTTCACCCAAAAATGAAAATTTGCCGAAAGTGTCCTCAGGCCATCAGATTTGGAGAAACTTAGCATTACAGTGAATGGGTGCCGTCAGAATGAGAGTCCAAACAGCTGATAAAAACATCACAATAATCCACAAGTAATCCACAGCACTCCAGTCCATCAGTGAACATCTGGAGAAGACAAAAGCTGAAACTAATCGAAATATGAAAATATGAGTCCATAATCCATAATAACGTTTCTGCCAAAAGTGTTCTGGTCTGAATCAGGAGAGAAATCTGCACAGATCAAGCACAGCTCTAAACAAATATGTGGCTGGATTTTGATGTGAGAGACAACGGTTTTCACTGGAGCAAGTGTTATTATGGATTATGGACTTGTATTTTAGTTAAACCAGTCTTAATGCTGGATCTTAAAGCTGAAGCTTTTGTCTTCTCCAGATGTTCACTGATGGACTGGAGTGCTGTGGATTATTGTGATGTTTTTATCAGCTGTTTTGGACTCTCATTCTGACGGCACCCATTCACTGCAGAGCATCCATTGCTAATTTTTGTAGTCATGCAATCTCTAGCCATGAACGAACAAACTCATCATCATCTTGGATGGCCTGCAAATGTTCATTTTTGAGTGAAGTATTCCTTTCATGTGTTCTTGACTTACTGTGGTGGTAAAATACCTCAGTACTGAAAGATGCTTTGAAACTTGCTCCATCATGAAAATAAAACAAAGAAAAATAAACCTGACCAAAGGTGGTGACTATGCTTTATAATCATATATATAGATAAAAGATCGATAACAACTTGTTTACAAGCATCTGAAACATGTTTTCTTAAATAATAATAATACTAAAAAAAACATGATTACATGATTAAAAGAGAAATGGCATCTGATCTGAAGGTCAGATTTCAGCAATACATGCTAAATATATATTATTCACCTGCAGAAGTAAAAAAATAGCACAATTCTATATTGCAAAGATTCATAAAATATGTAAAATATTATTTAAAAACTGGAATGAGAACTTGTGAGTGTGTGTGTGTGTGTGTGTATGTGAGAGAGAGAGTGTGTGTGTGTGTGTGTGTGTTAGTGTGTGAGTGTGTGTGTGAGTGTGTGCGTGAGTGTTTGTGTGTGTGTGTGTGAGTGTGAGTGTGTGTGTGTGTGTGAGAGAGTGTGTGTGTGTGTGTGAGTGTGTGTGTGTGAGTGTGTGTCTGAGTGTGTGAGTGTGAGTGTGCGTGTGTGTGTGTGTGTGTGATTTTCTTGCATCAGTATGTCAGTATTTAGACCATGAAGGCCCCAAAGAAGTTCTCGTAGGCTTCACCATGCACCTGCGAGCTGTTATTGACCTTCACGAACACACTGTCTCCTTTAAAAAGCTGGAAGATGCCTCCCAGGTAGCTGTTGCCCCTCCACTGGGATTTATTGGGCGCGCAGATAAACCTACAGTAAAGACATTCATGAGCCTCAGCGCTTGCAGCCGTGATCTGAAGCGATGTGTGGTGTTCTGTGGAGTACCTGGAGCTCTGCATCAGCTCGATGGCCTGTGAGCTGTACCTCTCCGTGCACTGCATGACCTGATGCTTGCAGAAGTTGCAGTTCTCCAGGTGAGCGATCTTGCAGAAGATGTAATAGTGCCCGTCCTGCTGGATGTACAGGCTGTTGTTCTTGTACTCCAGACCCCTCATGAACCCCGGGAAGCTGTCGGCTCTCCAGTGCAGGACGCCGTTCCCGCCAGACGCGGGCGAAGCGACTACACAAACACACACAAACATCATGCAGGAACCAGCTGCAGTACTTTTAGCAATATAATGGCTGATGCATATGAAGAAAAATGGGGGGGGGGAAATCATAAATACACTAAAAGTAACATTCGACTGTGTGTAGAAGGTGTTTCATACTTTGCAGAAATGCTGCCGGTTTGCTCTCAGCTTTGGGAAGTTTCGCAGGCAAAGCTTCATTAAAATCTGTTGAGAAAACAAGCCGAATGAACGCGGAACACATCGTGAAGGGCAGCGCTTCAGTGCTCTGACTGTGTGAGTGTTTACCAACCTTGTGAACTTCTGGGAAACGGGTACTTCTCTCCCTGCGGATAAATATTTACAGCAGCGTTAATATGATCGTCAAACACACCTTTATATACACACCTGCGTAAAAAAATATACTCACTTTTATATATTCCACTTTCTGGATATCGGATGTTGTCTAGAAAAAAAATTGAGAAAATATTTGATGTTTTTCACATATTTTTCCTATTACGTTTTGGCATTTCAGATGTGTATATACAAAGTAAATGAAGGCCTGTTCACAGCCGTGCAAACGAATGGCTGTTAATGCGTCTGCTTCAGACTGAAACAAGTATTTGTGTGTCATCAATGCATCTGATTTTGAAGCGTTCTAATCTCTTTTCAGTTGCACAGCTAAATAAAATCAGCCAACCAATAGGATTCGCGCTTGTAGTCACATGCTCAGAGCCGTAGCCGTTACAGTGAGAAGCAGGGCTGCTCGATTTCGAAATTTTTGGAATCGAGTCCGATTCTTGGTTCTTGGGATTCGATTCCAAGAGCCTCAATGTTGTTTTCAATTATTTTTCGATTCTTGTCTTTTAGATTGAAGGAACCTCTCGCCATGACTGCAGGATATATAAAGGTCGTAGAAAGTAGCCTTCTCATAATATATACCTTTACTTGCTTTATAAAATGACGATACATTTCTATAGCTCTGATTGATTTTTAAATTGTAATTTTGTCTGCATTGCCCATGAAATTAGTCATAGCCCACAGCTCATCAGTGGACGTGTTTATTACATGAATGGAACAAGACATGAAGCGTTTAAAATACATGTGCACAGTTCAGCTGAATGCACTGTATGCTTTGCACAAAATTAACAAACTTTACACTGAAACAAAATAACCAGAGTATTAACAGCAACACTGATATAAGAGCCCGTGGATGGCTGTTTGAAAACATGCACATGTTGTTTAACATCCTTTCGTCACCATAATAGTATGTGCACCATTCAGTTTTTGTAACCACGCAAACTTCGCACACACAGGTCGCACATGCACATTGAATTTGCTTTGCAGTAATCGGTTGTTCCACAAGGTGGCAGCACTGGAAGAAAACGAAGCACAAGAGACGGAAAAACTGCAATAAAAGTAGACGCCTGCATTGACAAGCGCTTGTGTGAGAGTTATGAGAGAGCCCAGCTTTAGTTTAAAAGAGTACAAAGATGTTTTTTCACTCGTAACTTCTGGAGAAAAATACTGCAGACGCTGGACAAAGATGAAGCTTTCTAGAGTCGACCACCTGTGTTCGTGTGCGCTATCAAATGGATAATACTTTGAAAGGTTACGCATTTCACTGTTGCTAGTGTACATGTATAAAAATACTTTGAGCTTTACATAGTGGTTTATGTCCTGGAGTAACCAGGTTATTTTGGCCTTTCTAAAAGCGCCATCTACTGTCAGAGAGTGACAATGTATATTCATTCAGCCTGCCTTTTGTTAACGCATTGGTCTGAACAGACAAAATCAGAGTTTTCGTGTCAAACATTAGCACTAATTTGGAACCATTTTGCTATCACTAATCAGCTATTTTTTGATTTTCTTGATACCTAGAGCTTACAATTGAACTTTTTTCTGGGGGAAGGTGAGTGAGGGTATGCAAGAATCTATTGTTTTAACGTTTTTAACAAAACTGACTTATTTTAAAAAGCCTCCCAGTCCTATAAGATCCGTTAGTCGTTTGTAGGACCATAACACACTGTTATTAGTTTTGATGGAGGATATTACGCTCTTTACCAGAATGAACACCAATTGATTTTAGTGCATGGAGCTTAATCGTGTATTTCTAATGCCTTTTACTGTTTGTTATGTCTGTATAATGTTTTTTTTTTTTGGTTTTGAAAATGTCACAATGGCTTGGGTGTCTGGCCTGGGTGTAAGTGTGCAAACCATTATATATGTTTACAGGAAATCTACACAATAATCCAAAACCATGAGCAATATTCTGCGGGGGTTGTGCAACCTAGTGGTTAGCGATCTGGGCTAGTTACCAAAGGGTTCAGACCATCAGCAAAAAGGTCAAAGCAGAGTGAGATTATGAGATGTTTGGCAGCATCCAAAAAGAGAAAGATGGGAACATTTCCTGCAGCGTAAGAGGAAGTGATGACTGCACAGGGGTGGGGGTCAATTATTGCACATGCCAGTTTCATGAGCTCATGTATTAACTGAGTCACACCACATGATCACCGAAAAGATAAAACGCAGTGAAAAACACTGTCAAAGAGAGGTTGAGCAGCTACAGCAACTAAAATACTCACTTTCTTTATTAGATGTACAGTAGGTGTGTCAGCACTAGTGAAATGACTGTGTTGGTTTTTTTTCCAATTGAATAAATGTTTTTCATTACAAGTATTCTCAGAACTGCAATCTAAGTGAAAGCCAAGGGTGTGGATGAGTCAGTATTTGGTGTCTCTGGAGCTACATGAACTAAACCTGATGGTCAGGATCTCCAGCATGACTTCAGATGATCTAAAGAGAGCATCTTGATCTTCAATCCGAGTCCTGTGATCAGTGATCTCTGTGGTCTTCTGGAGCCCATTGTAAATACTCATGGGGAAGTCGTGGCCTAATGGTTAGAGAGTCGGAATCGTAACCCAAAGGTTGCGGGTTCGAGTCTCGTACCGGCAGGGATTGTAGGTGGGGGGAGTGAATGTACAGCGCTCTCTTCCACCTTCAATACCATGACTGAGGTGCCCTTGAGCAAGGCACCGAACCCCCAACTGATCCCCGGGCGCCGCAGCTCGCTTTGGATAAAAGTGTCTGCTAAATGACTAAATGTAAATGCGCTATATTTTATTCATTAATTAATATTCTGTATTTTGAGGGAATTTCGTGGTCCTAGACAATTTTCACTGCTAAATTGTGGTATAGACAGATAAGGCTGTGTTTAGATTTTAGTATAAATTATAGGTACTTTTGCTAAGTTTTGCATTTGGATATATTTGGGCATAATTAAAGACTGTTTTGTCACGGCTACTTAATAATACATAACTGTTCTGTATATTCATTTTCCCCATTTGGATCACAGGTGTGACTTTTTTATTTTCTCTTTTCTATTCATGTTTGCATCCTTTGTTTTGTGTATGTTTGCATATTTTCAAAAACAAATTCAAAAACATAGACTTTTTTGGTCTAACATGACCAAAGGCCTCCAGAGTGTTAACCGAGCATAAGTACAGTAATAACTGCATGAAGAAACTGACGAGGAACACATGCGTGAGGACTCACCGCAGGCCTGCTGTAGAGATGCCAGATGAATCCAGCCTCGATGAAGACGCCCAGCAGAGCCACGGCCAGCAGCAGGTAGATGACAGAGAGCCGCGGGCCGGCGCTCCTGACAGACACCTGAGGCGGGAACGCCTGGCTGTCCACCGCAAACACCTTCATGTCTTTATTCACGCTCTCAGCTGCGTCCGCCATGCTGCAGCTCCTGTACGACTGACCTAACAGCTTCAGACGGGAAACCTCTCTGTCAGAGCTCCTCCATAGAGTGTGTGAAGCCTTCACTGCAGTGTGTGAGAGTCCATCCTCACCGCCAGCACAGCAAACACACGAGCATCATCTGAGCTGCTGAGAGCGACCTGACATCCTCTGACCCTGAGCCTCACCGAGCACAGAGAGAGAGAGAGAGAGAGAGAGAGACAGAGAGAGAGAGAGAGAGAGAGAGATGACCGCCCACTGCTGCTCGCGGAAGAGTGTGTCTCAGAAAGAGAGAGAGAGACACCGAGAGACACAGAGATAGAGAGAGAGAGAGAGAGAGATAGAGATAGAGAGAGCACTGGGGAGGGGTTCAACAGAGGAAAGAAACTAAAATGAGGAAGTTTTTTGGCTGTATGATGATAAATCTATCTGTCACTACATATTTACGTCTGTCTTCTGAAACCTCTTTGTTTTGTTCTCCATTTACTTAAAAAGTAACTTTTTGTTATTGTTATTAAAAAGTGACAATACCTTTCTTACTACATACAAAGTAACTTTTAATTATTGTTCCTTAAAAAGTAACATTAGTAAATAAAAAGCAACTGCTTATTATTATTACTTAAAATATATTGCTTAAAACAATATTGTGGTAATCTCATAGAAAGTAACTTAAAGTAACAATGTTGTGCTGTCATGAAAAGTTACTTTTTATTATTGTTACTTAAAAAGTAACAATCCTACTTGTTGAATAAAAAAGCAATTGCTGTTGTTTAAAGTAAACATATTGTGTTAATTTCATAGAAAAGTAACTTTTTTTTATAAAAATAACAATATCCTACTTGCACAATAAAAAAGTAACTTTTATTATTGTTACTGAAAAGTATCAATATCCAGTTTATTTAATAAAATAACTTTTTATAATTGTTAAAGTAACAATTTTGTGCTAATTCCATAAAAAGTAACTTTTTGTTGTTGTTACTTAAAAAGTAACAATATCCTACTTATATTTTTTGTTATTGTTACATAAAACATCACAATATCCAACTTATTATATAAAAAGTCACTTTTTAGTATTTTTTCTTAATGTAACAATATTGTTCTAATCTTATAAAAAGTAACTTTTTAATTATAGTTACTTAAAAGTAACAAAATCCTAATTATTGAATAAAAAGTAACAATTTTAGTTACCTAAAGTAACAATATTGTGCTAATTTCATAAAAAGTAACTTAAAAAGTAACAATATCCTACTTATAAAAAGTTGTTACATAACTGTTACTTTACATTAAAAGTAACAATGTCTTAATTATAATATCAAGCTACTAAAGTATGAAACAGAAAGTAACTGATGTTATGTCATTTCATTTCTGTAAATGTGTGATGAAATATTGAATTGGTCTGTTTGATGTTTCCCCAGTGCAGTCCTAAAATCATGCTACTTTTGTGTTAGTGTGCATGCAGAGGATGCATGAAGATCTGCACAAATATAAAATCAATCCGGAAAAAGCATACAACAAAACAGGTGACCACAGGCGCTCTCGCTTATCTGATGACCTAGAGACTAGTGCATTCATGCACATATATAAAATACATGCACGCACACACACACACACACACACACACACACACACACACACACACACACACAGGTTCCGGTGCAGTGAGAGCTCAGATGTGAGGATGCAGTGAGACAGGAAGCAGTTGGCGTCTCTCATGATGAGCGGCTGCACTGACCGTGAATCATCTCTGAACACACACTCTTATGCACCTGTCCTCATGAAACTGGACAAGCGTCTGATCTCTGGTCAGCTTTGAATCAGTATTTTCACTCACTCGCTGTGTGTGTTCAGAGTTCACATCTCAGTTTCAGTCTGTTCACTGTGACATTTCTCAGGGTTTTTTCTCCCCCCTTGATCACGCAGCCACACTTGTACTGTACAATGAACAGCTGCATTTATTCTTTGTGCAATTTCATTTGCAGTTGAAGCTTTTATGTGCATGCTGTAGAATATTTATTACTGTTTTTTTTCAACTGCTTACACACATTTTCAAAACTTTGCCTCTTTTTTTTTTTCAGAACTTCACACACAAAATGCAAAAAGCCTCATCTCTTGCAAAATGAAGCACTGCATTCAAAATATCACAAACACATCTCAAAAGCAAACATTTGCAAACACCTTTGCCATAATATTAATTCCTGTTAGATTGTGTGTGTTAGAGAATTGTGTGTTGTGTTTTGCAAAAAAGTGTTTTCTGAAATTGAAAACTGAGTCAGAAGCTGAGAATTAACGTATGGTTTTGCAGATGTGGTGTGTGCTTCTGCTGTTTGAGTGTCAGCTTTCAGAAACTGTGTGACAAGTAAAGATTCTGTCTGTCAGCAGTTGAAAAAAAAACTGTATAATAAAGACAAGCATGAGCAATAGTAATGATGCTTGACTTACCATTACTAGTACTGCCAATAGAGGTAGTAGTAATAATAATAATACAACTAATTGTCAGTCATTTTCTTTACAGTAGTCAACATTTGAAGTGGATCAAAAAAAGTTCACCAAAGTTGTCCTAAGACCAGAACGCATTTTGGTTTTAGGTTTTAAGACAACTTTGATGAAAGGCTTTTATCCACGTCAAATGTTGACTAGTATATTTATTTATGTATTTCACTAGCAGGTCTCTCTTGCTACCAGCAGAAGCACTGTAAGATGCTCAGCGTGGCTCGGTTGTGCTGCCATCTAGCGGCAGGACATCATATCAGCGCCTAAAATAAGATCCCATCGCAAACATGATCCACTGAATTACTCTTTTGAGCTGTGAGTTGCAAGTAATTATAGCCTATATTATACCGGGTTTAAATCTATTTATATATGTTATCTCATATCCGGTTATAATGTTTCTTACCTATACATCTATAAAGTTTATTATCGATAATTGCTTTCTGCTTCAGGATGTTACAGGTTTATGGTTTTATGTGTAACGCACGTCCCTGCGCGCTGATTGGCTGCAGCGCGGACACTCGGTGTGCTCTGATTGGCTGAGCGCCGCAGCAGAAGTTGAGCTACGGAAGCGGGACACGTCCGTCGCTGGACGGAGGCGTTTAACGGAGTTACAAACGCCGTTTAAAAGGCTCTTTCTGCGCGTTACAGCATGGACGGCGCGCAGAGGACACGCGTGTCTCTGCTCGGATGTGTCGCGCTGTTTGTCGGCGCCGTTAACGCGTTCAGTCCCACGGACAGCGAGTTCACGTTTCTGCTGCCAGCTGCCAGCAAAGAGTGCTTCTACCAGAGCGCCGCGCAGAACGGCAGCCTCGAGATCGAGTACCAGGTAACGCTGCGAACTCTCAAATATCAACACACAGCGAGCAGAGAACGTTATGAGCACACAGTCTTCCAGAAACGCTATTAGAACGTTCAAGAAGAGTTGTGTGGGTTTCAAAATTACATTATTCATCATACATGGAACGTTTTGTTCCTGAAACATTTCGAACGTTCGTGTAACATTTTTTGAAATGTTCAGAACGTTCAGAGAACATTCAAAAGTAACCGTCCCAAAATATTTGTAGAATTACAAAATATACTGAAAAAATACTGTAGTCATTTATAGTGTTTTTGAACCATACTATAGTACTGTATATATTATAGTATTTACAACACTTTATGCTACAGCATACTGTAGTTTTAACTATAGTGAACTGATAAACTGTAATAAATACTGTAGTATGCTTTAGTTTTTACTTCAGTAAACTAGTGTATTGTAGTATACCCTATAGTTGTAGAAAACTTAGTACAGTATTGGGTAAAGTAACTTGTTTATTATACTATAGTTACAGCAACTATAGAATTACCACAACAAATTAATTAAAGTACTATAGTATGTAGGCTACTATAAATAACTAGTATTTTTTCATGTTGGGTTCCCTTAACGTTATGGGAAAAAAAACGTTATTTATGTAGCAAAGGAGCCGTTTCTTGGTTTCTTTGTTTACTCTGATTTTACCACAGCTGTACCAGAGTTAAACTACAGTTGCTGCAGTGTGTATGTCAGTGAAGGGTGTGAGATGTTTGTTTAGCACGTATCCTGCTTCAGATCCGTGATGGCACCGTGATATGATACGAGTTTTTAAGTGAATGATGCTTACCTTATAAAACTTGCCGCCTCGTTGCTAGGGTGCTGTGTGTGGTTGCTAGGGCACGCAGAGTTCTATGTGGCACTGTGTTTGTGCAGGTGATCGCTGGAGCAGGTATGGATGTGGATTTCTCCATCGTCTCTCCTCAGGGGATCTACCTGGTCTCGGAGTTTCGCCGTTCCGACGGCGTTCATATGTGAGTGTTCACATCTAAACAGTAGGTCTACATAATATTCACATATGCTGTTCATGTATTAGCCCTACAGTTACAGCACGAAATACTATTTAAACCTATTTCTATTAACATTTTACATAACATTTGCCTATTTTATCTCACAATTCGGACTATTTTTCTCACAAACGCAAGTTTATGTCTCCTAGTTCGAACTCGATTTAACTCCACAAATTTTGCAAGCAGCGAATTGGTCCGTTCACACAGAACTTACACGTTTGTGCCGGAGACCCGTATCGTATGATTGGCTGCCGCTCCGGCGGTTACTCACATGTGATTGGTCCGCTGTTTTCAGGGTGGAGCCCACAGAGACGGGAGACTATCAGATCTGCTTCGACAACAGCTTCAGCAGGTTCTCCGAGAAGATGGTCTTCTTCGAGGTCATCATGGACAGCCCAGCCAATGACGCGGGAGCGGACGACGAGTGGGCGGGGCTTGGAGAGCCAGAGAGCCTATTAGAGTACAAGCTGGATGACATAAAGGCGAGTGAATGTGTAAAGATATTCTGGGTGAAGTAATTAACACTGTATGGATGGTGTCTAGCTACCACAGAAACACAAACCAGCTCAGTTTGTTAAGGCCTGCACATTAAGTCTTTGGGGCAAGTGTACCTTTGTGACCCTTGTATTTTTGTTAAACACCTTAAATAATCTCAAAATGTAAAACATCTTAAAGGCTTTCACTTTAAGCGGTGTTATTGTGGCATTGTTTATACTAAATAGTATGTATTAATATTTCTAGTAGCATATATTATTTGTTACTATTTATTATTTTTAATTTTAGTCATTTTATGTGCTTTTGTCATTTTCATTAGATTTTATAATCTAGTTAG